AGACTAATTCTCTACCACATATACAAACCATATAATATAAAATAAATACAATTATTTATACTACTAACACACCCCCTCAAGCACAAGGTTGGAGGGTGACAACATTGAGCTTGTCCCGAAGAAGTTGAAACCGCGGTCCTGGTAAGGGTTTGGTGAAGATGTCGGCAATCTGCTCCTTCGTGGAAACAAAGCTAACAATAAAATCCCCGGATGTGACCTTATCCCGGACAAAGTGGTAGTCAATCTCAACGTGCTTCGTCCGAGCGTGGAAGACTGGATTAGCCGCCAAGTATGTGGCCCTGAGATTGTCACACCAAAGGGTTGCTGGCGTGCCCGAGTGGAGACTAAGTTCCCGCAGCAAAGAGACGATCCAGGTAACCTCAGCTGCTACATCTGCCAGGCCCTTATACTCTGCCTCCGTCGAAGACCTTGCTACTGTGCGTTGCTTGCGGGATACCCACGAAATCAGGTTATCCCCAAGAAAGACTGCATACCCACTGGTGGATTTCCGATCAATAGGGCAGCCGGCCCAGTCGGAGTCGGAGTAAGCATGTAAATCTGTCGTTGCCGATGGACGAAGACGTAAACCGTAGTCCTGAGTCCCCTTGATATAGCGGAGAACCCTCTTGAGAAGAATCCAATGATCATCGGTAGGGGAATGCATAAACTGGCACAATCGGTTAACTGAATACGCTAGATCTGGACGAGTGATCGTGAGGTACTGCAATGCCCCAACTATACGTCGATACTGCGTTGGATTCTCAAAAGGAGCGGAGGACGCCGTTGCCGGCCGTGTGACTGAAGCCGGTGTAGCCAGGGCTTTGCAATCTGTCATGCCGGAGCGAGATAGAATATCCTGCATATACCGGCGCTGAGAGAGAAGAAAACTGTCACCAAGTGTGAGAGTCTCGATCCCTAAGAAAAAACTCGGAGTTCCCAAGTCCCGGATCTTGAAAGTCGTGGCTAAGCGGTGTAACAAGACCGTGACCAGACTTGTGTCATTCCCCATCATTATAATATCGTCGACGTAAACTAGCAAAAAAATGCGTGAATCTCCCGAAGTGTAATGGAATAGAGACACATCCGTTTTGGACGCCAGAAACCCTGTGGATATCAAAAAATCGTGAAGCCTCTTAAACCAGGCACGAGGTGCTTGCTTTAGTCCGTAAAGAGACCATTGAAGATGACAGACATGATTCGGCCTGGTCGGGTCTTCATAGCCTGGTGGTTGCTTCATATATACGGTTTCAACAAGATGTCCATTTAAGAAAGTATTATGAACATCTAGCTGTCGTAGAGTCCACCTGTTAGAAACAGCAAGAGAGAAAAGTATGCGCACGGTGGTTAGCTTGACCACCGGACTGAAAGTGTCAAAAAAATCTTCCCCGGCAACCTGGTTGAATCCTTTTGCTACTAGTCGCGCCTTATAGCGCTCCACTGAACCATCGGCTTTGCGTTTGGTGCGAAAGACCCATTTGCAGCCAATGATGTTCATTTGTGGTGTAGCCGGAGTGAGCTCCCAGGTGTTGTTATGTAATAGGGCATTAAATTCCTGATCCATGGCATCCCGCCACTGAGGATGCCCTACGGCCTGAGAGTAGCAGGTTGGATCAGTAGTCGCAGTAAGAGCAAGAAACTCTTCATCTTGACCCTGAGTCTTGTGTCGAGTCCGCATTGTATGCGAGACATGAGGCTTGCCTTGTCCCCGGCCCCGGCCTCTACGGGCCGTAGCAGGTGGTCCCATAGTGATACGAGTTTCTGGTGGAGCTGTTATGGCCGGTGGCCCCGTTTTTGGAGCTATAGGTAACTCCATGGCTAGGGGTGTTGACTGAGTGGCAACTACAACTGGCCCGGCTCCCCAGGGCGTCGCAGTGGAACTCATTGTAGGCTGAGAAGGTGCCGGTAGAGCAAAAGGGAAGACGGATTCATCAAACCGAACATGGCGGCAGATAAAGATCTTCCCCGTGATAGGATCAAAACACCGATATCCCCTAAAAGAGACAGGGTAACCTAGGAAGACACATGGTGTCGACCGATACTCTATCTTGTGCCGATTATAGGGCCGAAGATAAGGGTAACATCGACACCCAAAGACACGAAGAAAAGCGTACGGAGGTTGTGTTTTGTAGACACGATAATGTGGACTTTCAAAATTTATAGCAGAGGATGGTAGACAATTTATTAAATAGGTGGCTGTTTCGAAAGCATAATCCCAATATATTTGTGGGGTTGAGCTTTCAGCTAGAAGTGCCAAGCCAGTTTCGACATTGTGTCTATTCCGGCGTTCGACACGGCCGTTTTGTTCATGGGTATAGGCACACGATTATCTGTGTGTAATGCCTAAATTTTCGAAGACTTTGTGAAGACGTTGATACTCACCCCCTAAATCAGACTGTATGGTTTTGATAGAACGCGAAAAGCGTCGTTCTACCATCACCCGGAACACATCAAATATTTTATATATATATGATTTTAACCGTAATGGGTAAAACCAGCAATAACGCGAGTGATCGTCTACAAACAAAACGAAATAGCGGTAGCCAGTAGCACTAATTACAGGAGACGGACCCCAAATGTCCGTATACAATAAGTCTAAAATATTATTGCTAGTGCTAGAAACCCTATCTAAGGGAAAGCGGGCCGATTTCCCGAGTTGACACGCAGTACACAACTTTGACGAACTGGCATTATTTGTAGTGACGGGACAGTGTTTTAGAGTACGCTGGAGAGCTTGATTGTGGGGGTGACCTAGACGTTGATGCCACACATCGGAGGATGCACGAGCGGTAAGAAAGGCACACGGAGATGGTGGGACCAATAACTTGTATAGGCCGCCGGAGGTGAAACCTTTAAGAAGCACCGCCCGAGTGTTGCAATCCTTCACAAGAAACAGATTTTTGTGAAATTCAAAGTAAACGTCATTATCGTTAGTAAAGCGATAAACGGATAACAACGGTAACGTTAAATTTGGGACGTGTAATATTTGAGACATTGACAAACTTTTAGATTTAGACTTAGATGGGATTACGGTGTGACCTATACGGGAAACACCCAGACCTGTACCATTTCCAATTTTTAGAACATCCCCACCAGTGTAGGTTTCAGAGTGTCCCATCATCTGTTCGTCTGGGGTTGCATGAGATGTTGCCCCGGTATCCGGGTACCACACATCGGGTGTTGTATGTCCCGAATTATCACCTGAGACCGCTACGTTGGCGTGACCTGCAGGACGATCATTGTACCGTTTGTTACAGTACAAGGCCGTGTGTCCGTAAGCTCTGCAGATTTGACATCTCGGTCCGCCACCCCGGCCTTGCCGTCCGTGATTGCCCCGACCACGGTTTTGACGTCCACCACTGCCACGTCCGCCGGAGTGACGGTCCTGCTGGTGATCGTTGCCATGTCGCCCTCGACCAGCAAAGAACGCTGCCGGAGAGCTACTGCCAGTCGCCGAGTCAGCAACGGCGAAGTCGTCTTCATGGATGAATTCCTGCGCCTGGAAGAAGTCGGAGAGCTGCGCCAACGACACGGTCTGACCAGTTGCGGTTAGGGAGTTCGCCATGGTACGGAACTCCGGTCTGAGACCCCGGAGAACGTACAGAATCTGTTCGTCCGGCGAGAGGGGCCTGCCGGCGAGGGATAGTGCCTCAGCGATCATCTGGCACTTCCCTAAATACTCGGCCGGAGATCCAGGGCCTTGGCGGAGGGTCTGGAATTGCCCCAGCAGACTCAAACATCGGGCACGGGTGGTGGAGGCGCACGTCGACGCAATGGCATCCCAGACCTCCCGAGACGTCTGCCGGCCGACTGCGAGGTGCATAACCTCGTCGGACAAGGAGGAGACGATGGTGGAAAGAATCGCCTGGTCCTGCTGAATCCATGCTTCATACGCCGGATTTGCAGTAGTGGTGGTTGTCGTGGTGGAGTCGCCGGTAGTAGAGGTCACGACGACGGTCGCCGGAGGACACGGAATCCGACCGTCGACGTAGCCTAATAAACCTTGGCCGCGGAGGAATGACACCAATTGAGTGCGCCAAAAAAAGATAGTTCCTCATCGTCAGCCGCGTGGAGACAAAATGGTGCGCCGCCGTGAGAGAGTTGACGGCCACCGGAGGTACGCCGGAGGTGGTGGCGACAAGCCGGTCATTGGAGGAGGACGCCATGCTATTGGAACGGGAGTGATGTGTGGTGAATCGAAAAAAAGAGGAAACAGAATCGAACCTTTGGCTCGTGATACCAGATGAGATTGCGGAATGTGAGAATAACTGATTCAATTTAACTCAGACAAGCAATTAGAGTCCTATATACATAGCTCCTATTCTATAGGCTAAAGCTGAATAGACTAATTCTCTACCACATATACAAACCATATAATATAAAATAAATACAATTATTTATACTACTAACAATATACTTATAGCATTTTTTTCCCCCTCAATTATTTAGGTAAGCACATTAGCCCCTCAATTATTCTAAAAGTGGTGCTTTTTCCACCTGATATATTAAATTGACATTTATACCCTTAAAGTAAACATTTTATTTATTTTACTACTACGACAAATTATTGCGTATACGTAGGGATGACCACGGTTCGATTTGAATTGAACCGGATACTAAAGCAATCGAATTAATAGTTTACGGTTATAATTCAGATCTAGAACCCAATATTTAAATGTCAATTTATTAAAATTATGTATCAAAAAAATTGAATCTTGAACCGTGAACCGGCGGTTCCGGATCTGATTCGCGGTTTTGAACCGTCTTTATTTTAAAATTTTATTTTTTATTTTAAAATAGTCTAAATTCAACAATAAATGTATTTTATTTTTTCAATTCGGAACATGAATCGTCCGTTCCGGTTCACGATTTTAATAAACTCTAAATATCGAATTTCGATTCTAAATTGTAATTGGAATATTTCGGTTTGGTTGCTATAGTGTTTGTTTAGTTTGAACCAAATTATGGTCATACTTTGTTGGAGAAAAAAATAAATTAAATATTTAGTTTAAGGGTAACTATGTCCATTTAACATTTCAGGGGGAAAAACGGCCACTTCAATAATTTAGGGGAAAAAAATGCTATAGGTATATAACTCAGGGGGAAAAAGTGTCATTTTCCCTTTATTAAATGTTGTTTAATTATTATTATCTTTATAAATGTAAATAATATTTATTTATTAAATATACTTAATAAATTATTATTATTATTATTATTATTATTATTATTATTATTATTATTATTATTATTATTATTATTATTATTATTATTATTATTATTATTATTATTATTATTATTATTATTATTATAAAATGTATTCATGTCTTTAAATGTCATTTTATGTGTTATCAGTTAACAATCATTTTTAATAAATATTTTTTTTTATAAATATCTAATATTATCGCCAAGTTAACTAATATAATTAGTTAAACACAAATAGAATTCGCTATTCACTAATTGTTAAGAGCATGCATAGTAGAGGTTTTTACTTGGTTCATGGCAAAGAAAAAATTAATTTGAGGTATAAAGTATAAACAACATATGTGGGATGAAATTTTTTGGCAAAATTAACTTCTGCAAAAACAAAAAAATTTGTCAAGAAAAAAAAAAAAAAAAAAAAAAAAAAAAAAAAAAAAAGATGGCAGGTGCGCTTGGCGCACCCGATGGGGCGCTTCAGAGTGGCCGCCACTCTTATTGTTTTGTTTTTATTTTTTTATATCTTTTTTGCCGTTGTTGCAGACCGCAACGGCCCAATCACTATTTTGTTTTTGTATTTTTTTTTTTTAAAAAAAACAATTGTTAAGTTTTTTAGCTTATAATTTTTATTTTTATTTTTATTTTGTTGTTAAATTTTTTAAGTTTGAACAAAAATTTATGCAATATAAATGTTGTATATAATTTTTATTTTTCTTTTTATTTTGACATGTTTAATTTAAATATAATAAAAAATATATTAATTTTTTTTATTTTGACATGTTTGTATAAATATATCATTTATATAAAAAATTTTGATATGTACGCGATAAAATAGTTATATTCTATTTTAATAGTATTCATGCCATTGTAATTTGAATATTAAATCTACATGTTATAACACAACGTTCTCTCTATTCTAACGTTCTCTCTATACAAATTATTATCAGCTACATGTTGTACGTGTTATAACATGTAGATTTAATATTCAAATTACAATGGCATGAATACTATTAAAATAGAATATAACTATTTTATCGCGCACATATCAAAAAGTGTTGACTCAAAAAAAAAAAAAAAAAGAGGTATAACTGTATAAGTCACTAAATAATAATTTCATCCCGTAATACAAATATCAATGCACTATAAGAAAAAATAAATAAAAATATAATATTATACAATACAATTTAAACATGTCATATCTTAGTAAGGGTGTGTTTGGTTGACATGTTTAGCTCTAAGGTATGAGTATCAAAGTAATTGATATTGTTTGGTTGATAGGTTTTTAGAACATTACTATGGATTTCAAATATCCCCATAATTTAAAAACTCATACTCAAATAAAATAAGAGTATCATCCCTTTTCATTCCCTTATTCCTTCTCATCCCTTTTCATTCCCTTATTCCTTCTCATCCCCTTTGATTAGTGCTTTTAGATTTTTGTTTTTATTTTTTTGTTCATATTGCTATTTTGGATATCTTTATATTAAAATCAACTAGTAATTCACCCGCGCGATGCATGGGAAAAAATTATGTTATTATAAATATAAATAAAAAATAGAAAAACTAAAATATTTTAAATTATCTAAAATAATAATATTTTTGAGTTTCCATTGGTCAAGTATTTATTATTTTTATAGAATACAAAATTACAATTAAAATTAAAATTATAATTATAATTATAATTATAATTTTGTATGATTAATATAATCTCTAATTATGTGCATATTCAAATAAACTTATAGAGAGAATTTACATAATTACATTGATTTATTCTTAATTGTATTTCATCGATATTATAATTTTCACAATACGAATAATAACTAAGATAATTATATTTGGAAATCAAATTTCAAATTTTGTATGTGTAAATTTAAACTCTAATTGAACACATTTTTTATATGATTATATAATATATAGCTATTTTATTTTTCAAAAGTATATTTTTTATATGATTATATAATATATAGCTATTTTATTTTTTAAATGTTGTGTTTTTTTTTTTTATAATAAAAGATGTTGTGGCATTAATTGTAACATTAATTATTTCCCAAACCATATAGCTTTATTATATAAAGGATTGTTCTTGATTTTGTGTATTTGTATTTTTAAAATATTTATTCCCATTATAAGATCATACATAACTAAACAACATTATTGATAATCATTCTCATTCCACCCTACTACATACCAAACATGCAAAATACTTTCACTAAAAATCATTACTATTACCAAGTATTTAAATACACATTCCGATTTCGATTCCCATGTACGAACCAAACACACCCTAAATAATTCTTATACTCCATTCATCTTACAGTTGTCTGATTTGGTTAATAACACACTTAAATTGTTTACTATTAAAACTTTTTATACTCCATCTTATGAATTATGATGATGATAAAATATACTCCTATATATATATATATATATATATATATATATATATATATATATATATATATATATATATATATATATATATATTTTTTGAAACTATATAGAAAAAAATTTTTATATACAAAAATGATAAATAATTATTACTAAAAAAGTGAACAGAGAAAATAACACACGTTATGGATCTCATCCACAGCCCATTCAGCTTAGGCTTCTTCAACGTCATAGTACAATTATTATTATTATTATTATTATTATTATTATTATTATTATTATTATTATTATTGTTGTTGTTGTTGTTGTTGTTGTTGTTTTGTAAATTAAAAAAAAAAAAGGTGAATAAAATTTTATTAAATAAAGTTCTTCAGTACAAATACAGGGGAAAAAAAAAAAAAAACCAATAAAACAAGTCTCAACTTCTCAACCAAACAACATAAAAATTGTAAAACTGATTCAATGTACAAATACAAACATAAAATATTAAAACCTAACCCAATAAGAAAATCCAAACATATCCAAGAAAAGGGGGAAAAAATCTTAAAACTTCACAGCCAGAGTGTCACACCAACTATAAATATGCTCAAAATTAGATACGAAAATAATACTTTGGTATTTAAACTTAACATATTTTAAGTCATTAACGAGTTGACTCGATAATATTTGTATATTTAACACATTAACGACTTGTTTTGCCCCTTTAAAATTAGTAAAAGAAGACATTTATATGAATATGTTTGTTTATACAATATCAAAAAAGTTAACTTATCAGTCAATTTTAATTTATTTGATTTGATTAAACATTCAATGTAAGTGTTTGATTAATAAGCTTTTTATAACAGTTTATTGTTTCAAAATGCTAAAATTTAAAAAACTGTTCAAAGCAACTCTTTCGGTCAGTTTTTTGAAAAAATCATTTTGCATGTAATTAACTATCAGCTAATTTACCAAACATTTTTCTATAATCAGTTAATGCTATCAATTAGTCAAAATCACTAACATAATCAACTAACATCTATTTACAGAACACTCACATTGACATTGTCTCTACTATGAAGAAGCAAAAAAAGTCAGCATAAATGTGAGCAATAGAACATAGTTCAGTGAGTTGTTTTACAACCCAAAGGAAAACAAAATGTGAGGTTGTGATACCAAATGTGTTTTCACCATTAATTTCAACCCAAATTCCCTAAAAAGATATAATAATCCTCTTGTCTATGATGATCCAATGACAGCACAGCACAGCTTGTACATTTTTCAAGTTTTGATTAAAAGAACTAAAAATAGCATACAACAAGAATATTCACACACACACACACAACACATTCAAATCATCCTTTCAATTCAACAAGCAATGAAGTCCCACAGGCTGCTGTAAACTCGCAGCCTTCTGTGGATATCCAAACAATACCTCATCGACTATGAGAGGACGGGCAAGAAAACCAGAAAGCACGATCCCCGGGAATCAGTTCACTTGAGGGGAACCGATTTCAACTCTCTCGATTTCTTGTTTTGGTGGTACCTTTTCCTCTTTTTCCTCCGAGATGAACTCTGAACTGTCCTCTGCTCCAGATAACTCGTCTTTAGCAGCAGCCTGAGGATTTTTGAACAGTTCATCGTTCTCTAGAGCGGCAAACTTCTCCTTCGATTCGCCTTTCAGGATCTCAACCACCTCGAGCATTGTTGGTCTCTTCTCAGCTTGGTTTTGAGCACAAACGAGTGCCACGTAGACCACTCTTTTTAGCTCTTCTTCCACGTAGTTTCCATTCAACCTTTGGTCTGCAAGTTCGCTGAATTTTCTTTCGCAGGCCAAAGGTAGGGCCCAGTCCGTGATCGTGCGCTTCATCGTTGCACTCACCTTCTCTATCGGTTTCTTGCCACTAGCGAGCTCTAGTAAAAGAATGCCAAAGCTGAAAACATCGCAGCTTTCTGATGCCTTCCCTAGCATTGCGTATTCCGGGGCAAGATAACCGAGCGTGCCCTTTACTCTGGTGGTCACATGCGTTGCGCCATCGGGGATGAACTTTGCGAATCCGAAATCAGCAACTTGAGCTCGGAAATCAGAATCTAGCAACACATTGCTTGCTTTAACGTCTCTGTGGATAATGTGCGGGGTTGCATGGTGATGAAGATACCTGGAGTATGTTGAAAAATAAAGAGTTAGGTTTATCTATAAGGTTGTGTCTGTTTATGAATAGGTGTCAGTTATGGGTAGTTACTATATATATATATACTATGTTTCTTTGTTAGAAACACAGACAGATAATACAGAATCATACATTTTCTGCCTAACTGGCGGGTGGTGTTATTCTCCACCCGCCAGGCCATTCCATAGTCCAAATTCTAACATGGTATGGTATCAGAGCAGACAGGGAGGATATATCGAAACATAAAGGTAAGGAACAAGGTAATGAATGTCACATATAAAAACTTACGCGATCCCCTCTGCAGAACCAATCGCAATGCTCATTCTCCGCTTCCAATCAAGAAGGCTTTCAGTTGAATGCTGCCCGTGAAGATGAGATAGTAAGCTTAGATTGGGCATATAATCATATACAATTAGACGCTCTTGTCCTTCAGCACAATAGCCCCGTAAATTCAGCAGATTCTTGTGCCTTACTCGGGCCAGTATTTCAACCTCAACAGCAAATTCCATCTCTGCTTTGTTGCTCCACACCTTTAGCCTTTTCACCGCAATCTGCATAAAATACGTCCATAATAAACGATTCCACCTTGCTTTAAAACATCAAAATCTTGTTTATGTAAACCCACAAAAAAAAAATGAATTTGGATTTATCCATTCGCATATCCAACACACAATCTACTAAAACCATTAATAGTAATCACACACAGACATATCGACATATATCAATAATCATATCCCGTGTCATTAATCATGATATATAAAGGGTGAAGGTTTTGACATTAAAGTCCGATAATTCCAGTGGCAGACATATAGAGAATTTTCTTATTTTTGAAGCAAGAGCCTATGAGATCTTCAAGGAAGTCGAGCAAAACACACAGGAATGAACGAGAACAACTAAGCATAATAATTGTGAAAATTAGACGCATCCAAATACAACACTAAAAGATGTCTTTGCAAAGACAAGTATCGAGCTTGTTGTTCTTTAGGTCCCTCACCCGGTTAACAATCCCTAATAAGATTCTTTTTTCATTATCCCTTCTGTCTAGCAATTAGAGTTTTCCCGTTGTGTATCAAATTCCAAATAACACCAGATTTGACGAGCAGTCCATTAACAATCCCTAATGAGGTTCGTTTTCATTTCCCTTCTTTCTACCAATTACCTCAGCAGACACTATAATTCAAGATATCATGAATCTATAAAATAGTTAATAACTAAAATATAAATAGGAGAAGACATTTTGATTACTAACTTGTGAACCATCCCAGAGCTGACCCCAATAAACGCTACCGAATCCGCCTTCTCCAAGCTTGTTGTCATAGTTAAAATTGTTCGTAGCAGACTGCAATTCCTTCAGGGAAAACACCCTCCACGTTGCCCGTTTCTTCGATTCATCCTTCCTGTACAATTCAACATTCTATAAACAGGCTCCTTCCATCTCCATTTTCAATATCCACCAAACTTATATATCCAAATTCCAAAAGAAAACATAACATATGTATACTATGCAAACAAGTACAGGCCTAATTGCTCACTTTTCTACAATATCTAAGCAGCCATTCTGAAATAAAGCATGTTCTGGTTAATACAACAGTGGGTTTTCTGAATTTCCAATTAGGAAATGGGGAAAATCAATAACATAAGTAATTAAGAGGGGAAAAGGGGGAGAAAATGCAGAAATCCAAGAATAGAAAGTCATACCCAGAACCCTTTAGGCAGCAAAATAGTGGGGAAAAGACCATGTTCTTCATCACAACAAAAACACCCAAATTTCCTGTCCCTACACAGATATATGGAACAAAAGATTGATTTTTGATTTTCTGTCACAAAAGAAAATAGCGTTGATTAGAGCACATCTTCCACCAACAGGCTAAACAGCATCAAGAACCAGTCCATGAGCGCTCCCCTTCTGTAAAGGTTTGAACTTTCTCTCTCTAACAACTGTCAAAGTAGACCGGTCAGAGAAAATGAAACTGCCAGCCCAGTTTTTTCAAAAAAAAAAAAAGTTTTCTTTTTTTTTGTGTAACAGCCAAACAGAACCTTCCGATCGAAGAAATTTTGGGTAGAGGAGAAGAGAAAGGTTGAGTAAAGGGAGTGAGAGGGATAGGAGCCAACAAGGTTAGGAGCAAGCTGGTGAGAAAAGAGATTCCAAATACACAAAAACACTATTGCTCTACACTGCTTTTTTGTTCCTGTGTTTTGGTTGAATCCATGTAGCCTGAATATTTAATTACTTTTCAAGTTTGAAATTGATAGGAGAGAGAAAGAGAGAGATTGTGATGGCAGGGTTTGCAGAGTGCAGAAGCAGCAGCCAGTAATAAGTCCACTTTTATCTTGGGGACTTTGTTGTTTATGGTTCATTCAATTTTCGAACTTGTACAGTTGTACACTACCCACTGTTCAAATAGATGCTCGGATTTTGAGGACTACTTGTCTATTTATTACAAGTTCAAATATATGCACTCTCAAATTCTACTCCATTACTTTTATTCTATTTTTATCTTATGGATCCTAATAAATATGTCTACATCAAAAATTTGTGAGAGGGAGTAAAAGTTGGGAATAAGAAATGGGAGTGGGTGCAGTATTTTTCATTTATTACCATGGGCGTAATAAATTATGTGAATATTGTGAGTTGTTACGATAGTCTCCAGATTCTCACTTCTTGCCATTGAACTCTCACACTGAAATAAAATTTTTAAGATGATCGATCGAATTAATTGAACTAGCCTAGTGGGGCTTACCATGGATATCTAACATCAGCACATCGCAACGTTATAAAACACGATAATTTTTTAAAGTTTTTTAAAAGTATTATTGGTGACAAGAAAACTCAAAGTGTGAGAGAACAAAATGAATTTTTTATATGTTAAAAATAAGAGGGGAGATTAATATAAAAGAATAAAGAAAAAGGAATAGTTTTTTATATAAAAATATGAGTTATATTTTTTTAATAAAAACAAGCATATAAGTGGTTTGCTAGACGATTGGAGTGGTTGTTAGTTTAATGACCATTCTAATACAACAATTCATATAAATTTGAAGCTCACAAATTAAAAAATCACATCATTACCGACTTAGAATCGCGCTTATAATATTTTTAAAAAATCAAATTATTGCTATATTATAAAGAGTACTACTACATGTACTCCATATTTCTACTCTTTCACTTTTACTCCATGATGTAATAATTAATGGTTAATTATTAACATATTTTCATCCTGTAAGTTTTAATGAAAATGTCATCAAAATTTTGTGAGAATAGTAATAGTATTTTTCATATGACATAATCATATTCACATTACGTTACTTATTTTATATAAGTTAAACTAAATGTCTCTTTAAGACTATTAATCATGTCACTTATCTTGATTTTATTATAAGAAAAAAAATGTAAAGAAAAGAATTGGAAGAAATGACAATTTTAGTCTAAATTGTACCTATATAATCAGTCCCAATTTTCGTAAGGCATGAATCATAATTTAATAAGGTCATTTTGGTCATTTACCGTCTTTCTTTCTCTTACAAAATGGTTTAGTTAACCTATTTCATTTTCAACTAAAACTTGGACGAGTGTTCGGCGGAGATTGCAGAGGCTCGGGCTATCTTTGAAGGTCTCAAGGTGGCTTGGAGTATGGCAGTGACTAATGTTGTTGTTCAAAGCGATTCAGTTAACTGGATAAACGATCATCTTTTTTACGCTAAAGGAGGTGAAACTCTTAGAAACATCATTTTTTAGTGCAAAACCTGGAAGAAGAAAGACTGGAATGTCAAGTGTTGTCACGTTTTGCGGGAACAAAATCAAATGGCGGATTGACTTGCGAAGGACTATGCTCTGGACTATGAGTTAGCCTTTTTGTATTTTTTCCCCAACGGCCATCTTGCCGATTGTGTCCGTAGAGATAACTTAGGGGTCCCTTACATCCGCGATGACTAATTTGCCGGGCGTGGTCTTCTCCGGTAGAAATAGTTGTCGGAATTTTTTATTTTTTTTTGAATGGCGGTGAACAGTAATTAGCAACGGTCAACGTCAATAATTTATTGGTTACCGGTAAATTGGACTTATTTGACTCATTTTCACTAGTTTGAATGTGTAATTGCACTTTTGTAAAGTTCAAGGACCTAATTGCCCTTTTGAAGAAAGTTCAAGGGTCTATTTGACCCTTTTCTCTTTAATTAAATATCAAAGTTATAATAGAGAATAATGTTATATATTTATTTACCAAGTATTTTATAAATACCATGAAAAAAATAAAAAATAAAAATATAATTAAGTTAATCATATTAACTACTTGGGGATTTGTTGACAACGAGAGTATTCAAATCACACAACAAATTGAAGTGAGAAACTACATCGCAATGTCCTTGTTTGGCAATCAGCAATTAGCAGTTAGCAACGTTCGACTCCTCTTAGTTTTGCCACTTCTCCCACATCGGTGAGAAAAGTGGCATGGGAGTCTTGAGGAGCCTCAAGACTCTAATTTAAAAATTAAGCTTGCCCATCCGTTGATGGGCAAGTATGAGCCAGCTAAACTAGATCTTGTTATTCAAGGAGTCGAAACGGCTCTACGGTAAACGTTTTTTTTTAATTAATACAAAGGTGTTTTGGGGAAATCATTCCCAAAACGCTAAGTGAAAATATTGTAAATTGCAATGTTTGTATTTTCAGTGGTTTGGAACAAATTGTTGCTCCAAAGTGTTGAATAACCAAACACTTTCTTTAGCATTTAGATCTTTGAGTTACATCATATTTATCAACCGTCCAATATCTTTGGGTTACATTATAATTAAAAAAATTTAAATTTTTACTATTTCATCTAAATTCCTTAAATTAGGAATTTCTTTATCTATAATAATTCATTCAACAATAATGGTTGAACTAAATGAATACTGAGCAAAATACCTAAAGGACCGGTACCGTTGATTCATTCATTGATCTTGTATATATGTGCATCCATTAAATATATTAGAACCCTTTGCAACAAAAATACTTGGTTAAATTACTATTTAAAAAAAGTTTAGTAACAATTATAATGAATCTCCTATGTGAATCATTTCATTGTTGAACCCCTAGGCTTCGCAGGTGGTTTGCTTTTGTTTTGGAAACAAGGTCAAATCGACCTTATGTCATTAGGCACACCTCTCAGGCCATCCATGTTAGGGTGAACCGGAGGCCGGAGGATGTGTACATTACTTTTGCTTATGTTAGGCCTAATTTGATGGCTAAGCACAGGTTTTGGGAGGATTGTAAAATTTTTGGAAGCTCCATTCGCAATCCCTGGATCGTCATTGGAGACTTTAATGACATCGCGACTATCGGGGAACAATGAAGAAGTACTTCTGTTAATAATAATTCGCTACAAAGATTTTTTGATGCCTTTAGTCTTTGTGGCCTAATCGATCCAGGGTACTCAGGTCAGAATTACACTTGGTGTCGTTTTGCAGGTAATAGAGTGGTTCAGCTGCGCAGGTTGGATCGAGTGCTTTGGAATGTTAACGCCTAGCACTCCTTTCCGGAAGGAAAAATTATGGTCCTTCCGAGACTCCATTCAGATCACAGCCCGATTATGTTTGTTGAACAAGCTGGTAGGCCGCCGGATCCTAATAATCGACCAATGCGTTTTGAGGCGGCGTGCCTGACAAGAGAGGATTACAAAAAGATCTGGAAAGATGCAGCGGCCCTTGGTGACCATAATATTGAGGCCCTTATCTCTTCAGTTACTAAAGACAACTTGCAATGGAATAAGAAAGTCTTTGGGAACATTTTTAATAGGAAAAAACGTCTGGAAGCTAGAATTCGGGGTGTTCAATTGGCGAATAACTATGCCACCTCTTGTGATCTCCAGTCCCACGAAAAAGAGCTCGCTGACGAGCTCAACATGGTCCTTGACCAAGAAGAAGCTCTTTGGTTTCAAAAGTCCCGTATGGACTGGATTAGAGATGGCGACAGGAACACAAGGTTCTATCATAATTTTGCTATGACTCGAAGAAACAAGAATCGCATCAGATTTCTCAAACCTCACGGGGAGTGGACCGATGACCCTAATATCATATCTACACATATCATCGACTATTTTTCTTCTCTTTTTTGCAGGGTCGAACTAGAGGGAAGCACTGATTTGGTACCAGTCGGGTTGTCCCACAAAATCTCGGCAGTCAGGGCTAACAACCTGCTTAGGAGAGCTTCCTTGGAGGAGGTTAAAAAAGCTGTCTTTGGAATGAAAAAGTCCGGTAGTCCGAGATCGGATAGAATCCAAGCAGCTTTCTACCAGCATTTTTGGGGAGAGGTGAGGCCAATTATAATGAATCTCCTATATTACCTTGTATTCATATACTATGAGTTACATATTTAAATAAACAAATTTGACATTAAATTACTTATTATAAACTTTCCATATATAATCTTGCATTAATATACTTGGGAATTAACTCATTTGTGTAATGTGCATGTAAAACTAATTATATTATATAAATATAAAGAGTGTATTAATTTAAAATTAATTATTAATTTAAACGTTTGCCTAACAAAGAGACAGTATGTGCAACCAAACTAGGGGTCTTCTGGCAAAAGACATTAATGATTTTGTTGATAGTGATCTGGCAAAAAAAAAAGGAGGAGGAGCTCATCTTATAGACATTAATGATTTTGTAGTTTTGTGTTGTGTACGTTCGCACATATATAGAGCCAGGATCAAATGAGATTGAACCACCTTTTTGTGTGAACGTACGAACTACTTATTATATTTATTGTAATATTTGATTATGCATTTGAAAATACGTATTTTTGTAAGTAATTACGATTGTGCATCTTGTGATGTCTGATTGTGTATTTATGTAATTTTATGATTGTGCATCTTGTAATACTTGATTGTGCAGTTCACACGTTTGCATAGGAACATAGGTCATCATTAGATCATGATCCTTTTTGGTAAATGGTTGTTAACTGTTAGTTGATTGAGTTAATTAGAGGGTATAACTAGTTGATGACATTAGCTGATTGTAGAAAGGTGTTTGGTAAATTAGTTGTTAGCTGATAGTTATTTGATATAATTTCTTTTCTTAAAAAATTAATTGAAAAAGTTGATTTGAGCAACTTTTTGAATTTTAGCATTTTGAAGTTACCAAAAGTTAATTAACCAAATACTTTATTGATTTTTTAACCAAGTCAAACAGCTAATAGTGGTCAAATAAGCCAAAATTGATCTATAGACTAACTATTTTACCAAACAAGGCCATATCTTTATGTGTGTGTCTATAACTCCAATAGTTATGTTGTGGAACCGTGTTCACCATGCGCATGGTGAACACGGGATATATCCATAATTTCTAAGCTGTAGATTCATAACATCTATAATGTAGATTCATAATTTCTGTACTGTAGATTCATAATTTCTGTACTGTAGATTCATATTTTCTATACTATAGATTCATAATATCTGTACTGCGAAGATGAAATAATGTGATTGCGAAGAGAAAAACGACGTTAACAACAAATAAAAAAAAAATTATGAATCTATAGCATAAAAATTATGGATCTACTCCTGTATTGACCATGCGCATGGTAAACACGTTTCCACAGCATAATTTGCGCTATAACTCTATATAGTGTTTAAACAAATTAAAAACATAAATCCTAAGGTTTGATGAGGCGAGTAATTAATATGGTCTTTCCTTTCTTTCTTTCTTTTTGCGGTTCGTTGCATCATGTCAGATTACAACATAGGAGCAGTAGTTTTGAAATATGAGTCAGTGAGTCTGAGTTGTTCATTCATTAACTGAATCCAGTTAGGAGTGGGGCCATAAACAAATTGACATAATTATATATGTTGGGTTTTTATTTAGTTGGTTACAGATTAGAAGAATTATAAGCATGATTGATGTTTAGTTATTATTGGGGTGGTTTGTTTGTATGTTCTATTTTATTTTTTTAATTAATTGTTCAATTATTACAAATTATGGAAAAGAAGTATTTTCTTTTATTTTGCAACATTAGCAGGGTATCATCACTAATGTAAGAGCATCTACCATAATAGTTTTTCACAGTTTTTAAAGAATAAAAAAATTATATGTGTTGTTTTTGCACAAACGGAGAAGGTGATTTTTTTGGATATTTTTGTTGTGGAAGTTCTTTGTTGGGTCCAAGTGAAAAGAGAAAATGAGAATTAAATATATTCTGGATGTAAATTTTGGAAAAATAACTCAAAATATCTTCTTCAAAGAAAAAATTCAAAAAAATTTATGTATTTTTTTTTTAGTTTGAAATACTCATGATCCTTTACAAGTAGTATATGTTTTATACTTAATCATTTTGAGCTCAAAAAATCAAAATCTCCACTACTGAAATTCGATCCATGACCACCCATTTAAAATGGTAATAGAAATGACATTACACTACATAATAGTTAGCTACATTTCATTTCTTTATATTATATATATATATATATATATATATATATATATATATATATATATATATATATATATATCAAACAAAATGTAGAAATGTAATATTATAATATACTATGACGTGTCTTACACCATACCACAAATGACAAAACAACCCATTTTGCACTCCACTTGCAGAATTAGGTATGAAAAGAGCATTACTTTAGTAGATAAAACTCATTGATCTTAAGCAATTATTCCCTAATTAACTACATTTTTAATTAATTACAAAACCCGTCTAGAACTCCACCCGACTCACCATGTGTGTGTATAAATTAAATGTAATAGTAAAATAAATACTAATATGTAGTTAATTATAAAAGTATCTATAACTTTAGATAATGTTTTATTATTTTTATATTTAAACTACTAAGTTTATTTTAAAAAATTAACAATTTAATTATTATATTTGGATATTTTTATTATTTTTCATTTTAGCATAATGAATTTTATGATTTTATTATGTATAAGTAATTTAAATATGATTTTTTGTAAAAAAAAAAAAAAAAAAATTAATAAGATGATAAGTAGTGGTGGGTATCTGTAGTGGGCACCCGCATTCAGTCTGGTGGAGTGAGAGTGAGTTTTGAAAAAGTCCAGCCGATACGGGTTGGGGTGGGGGTAGGTGGAGAAAATATAAGGTGACTCAGATAATGGATGTAGCCCTCCCCGACCCATTGTCATCCCTAGTCACGTTGTGAGAGCACAAGAAATTCTATCAACATATTTCATACTTACTAAAAAGTGAAAATATTTATATACTAATCCACACCCACATTTCCTAAAAATGTGAAACAATACAAATTTTCAATGACCTTGTGGTCAAGTGGCATGAAGTGCACTGGAAGCAAAGTAGTTATGCATGGGAAATGTACTAGAAGCAAAGTAGTGGGGGACATATGTGTGGCCAAAATGAAGACTAGCTGATGTCGTACACTTGTCAACCATTCAGAAGGTCCTTAACACTATAAATAGGCGCCTCGCACCCTTATTTCCTCTTAAGACATCATCCCTTGGATCATAATAACCTCCCTAGCTTTAGTGGTTTCTAGTCCTAATTAACCTTTAACCCATATACCAGGGTTTGATTCCTAGACCACGCGCGTTCTGTACTCCCATATGGAGTAGAGTAAATTTCAATTTTGGTCATGTGACTATTGGGGTCTTGTTAATTGCAGTCCACGACTTTCAAAATTGTTAAACGTATACGGCAGTACGACACCAATTTCGGGTGGGGAAAAGCAGTGGCAAACTGACAGTGAGGAGTGACCACACTTAAAAAGACGAATTTGTCCCTCACATTAAACATTAATTGGTTAATTAAGTTTTTCAGGAGAGATTTGACTGATAATTTGGTCGGAGTGACCAAAATTGATAAAAATTGAGTAGTCAAGGTGCTAAATTAACAGTTTTGAAAGTCATGGAATGTAATTAATAAGACCTCAATAGTCACATGACCAAAATTAAAATTTACTCAATGGAATATGTATTATGTATATTAGTCCCTTTATATAAACATTTTTAACCTCAAGGTTTTGACGTTTTGCACAACGTTTCGAAGTCAAAATATTATTTTTTTTTTTAAATACTACTGACTCTGTTATATTGTAGTATTTGTTCGTATATACTTTCTCAATCTATTGAAGCACAAAGAGTTAATGCCCCGGGTTCAAACCTGTGACCTCTCATTTAGGAGAGTCACAGTTATACCACTCAGTCACAATGTCTTTGGCTAATGTAAAAATATTTTATCATTAATTCAAAATATTATTTAGACCAATATTGTACATTGTTCTCTAGATCCTAAAATGGTGGAAGTTCTCTCATTACAGGAGGCCCTAAGTTGGGTCAAACATAAAGGAATGACAAATAGGAAAACGATGCATATACTCCAAGGGAGTAAAACTTCTACTGTATCTTAATTTTATTTGAAGAAGATAAAAAGAAAGTAATAAAAATTATGGTCTACATTTTTCTGAATGAATTAAAGAGTGACATAGGGAGTAGAAAATGGAGTAGAATGTGAGAATACTTGTAGTATTACTCAGACAAATATTACCTTCGAGATGGATTTCAAATTGTTGTTCAGTCAATGTATTCTAATGTTACTATACAACTTACAACTTATCAACGTTCGAAATGATTATTCAGGTAAGAATTTGGTTAGTGCTTTAAATAACGCACAAATAATGTTTGTTAGGATATCTACGGATAAAGTAGATCACTCACTAACTAGAGCTACGTATTCTTTGTCTGATTTTCAGGAATGGACCTTATCTCCACCTTATTTTATTCATGATGTACTTACTTATAATTTGGTTTAGTTAATGAAATACAACTTCATTTTAAAAAAATAATAATAATAATATATTATTATTTTTTGGTAAAGAAAATAATAATATATTATACAATATACTTATATACATTTCGTATATCGAGAAAAATAATAATACGGAGTAATAATTAAACTCCGAGAATTCAAAAATAATATAATAATAATGCACAAGGTTTTATAGGCTTTGGAAGCTATGATGTTTTTAGGAGGAGAAACTGAAACTATATGTCGTCTTTTGCACAACCTTCGACATATTCCTTATCCATTTCTTAGTGGCTTCTTATTCCTTATCCATTTCTCAATGGCTTCTTTCACTTCTTTGCCCTCCTACTAGTTTATATTTATCTATTTTGTATTTCATTATGAAGAATGGTAATGCAAAGCAAGTTGAAAAGTTAATAAGTTTTTGGAAGTGATCTTCCAAAATAAAAAAATAAAAAAAAATAAAAAAAAATTGGAAGTTATAAGGTTTTACTTTTATTTTTTGTTGGGAAATTATACTTCCAATTTTTAATAGAAAATAAGTGTAATTTTCATCTCTAAATTATAATAGTACTTTCTAATTTAGTCATCAAGATAATTTATTTAGGGGGGTGTATTCAATCATGACTTTTGTAGAGTTTTAAAGACTTTTAAAACGATAGATTTTAATAAATTTTGATTGACTTTCATAGAGTCGTTTAAAACTTTTTAAAACTTTATAAGACTCTATAAAAGTTTATATAAAAAACATTCATAGACTTTTATCAACTTTTTATTTTAAAAAGTCTACAAAAGTCATTGAAATTCTAAATTGAATACATCCTTACAAACTTTCAATAATTTTGATTCTTATCATTTATAATTTTCTTACAAAACATTTATAATATATCATAAAGTTATTCTTATTATATAGTTCTTCACTCACAACAACATTCTCAACATTATTATTTTTATCCATAGTATGCTGAGACTTATATGCTAATTACTTATATATATTATTAATAAACATCAACAAAAAAAAAAAAAAAAAAAAACTATTTCATTAGAAATTCATAACAATATTGAACAATAAAATTTATAATAAAAGAATTGATCAAATAAAATATTTAAAAATATAATTACAAGTTCCATAAAATAAAAAAAAAAATTAAAATCTAATATTAATAATATATATAAAATTATACTTCATATATTGCTAGGCATCACACAAAGAACTATTATTTGCAATAGCAATTTGAGACTGCGAACAACAAGGTGCTACTGTTTGCAACCCCAAATTGTTGTTGCGAATAATAGTTCGCTATTCGTAGTAACCTGTTGTTTAAAAAAAAAGGAAAAATATATATTACGAATATAAACATAAAAAAAATCAAAATCAAAATCAAATATATAGTATTTATATGAATATTATGAAATATATACTAAAATTTGACGATGAACAATTTACTTTGTTCATGTATTTAGGGAGAATTAAAGAAAGTTAGGGATGAAAAATTCATAGAAAAAATAAAAATCAATATAAACAAGCAATAATGAAGTAAAATAATATTATTTCAAATTTTTAGAGAAAGATTGTAAAGTTCAGGACAGAGAGAAAAAATGATAGAGTTTATGTATGAGGAAAATATAGGATAATGAAGAAAAAAATAATTTTATTAAATTTAGATAGGTTTATAAAGTTTAAATATGGAGAAAAAATAAAGTTTAAATAGAGAGAGAACATTCAGAGTTGTTAGAAAGAAAATTTTGAAATCTTTAGGTTGATGGTTGGATTTCAACTATGTATATTTGAGAAGGAAAAGTCTACAAAAGTCCTAAAATTAAAAAGTCTACAAAAGTTCATAACTTTTTGAAGACCACATGACTTTTAAAGACTCTTTAAAAGTATTAATCGAATATCACACGACTTTTAAAGACTCTTTAAAAATCTTGATTGAATACCGCCTAACTTTTAAAGACTCTCTAAAAGTTTAAATTGAATACCTCTAAACTTTTAAAGTTCATAAAAGTCTTTAAAACTCTACAAAAATCATGATTGAATACACCCTAGTCATTCTTTTAATAGATTTGACTATTTTGGACATAGACAACACTAATATAGAAATAACAAGAATTGTACTTTCCACATAATTTCCTTTCTTATTGTTTGTAACTTAATATAAAATTATCTTTTTTAACTATTAATACACATTTTTTGTAATTCAATACTCTCTTAATTAATTCACGAACTACCATTGTACTCTCACTTTTTAATTTAAGAATAAAGGTCAAATAGGCCACTGAACTGCACACCAAACTATAATTAGGTCATCGAACTCAAAAAAGATGCAATTAGATCCCTGAACTACACAAATTTATGCAATTAGGTCTAAAATGACATGTTTATCTGCCATGTAAGTTTCGAATTTTAAAAATAATTTTAAAAATAATTTTAAACAAAAAATTAATTTAATTTACCTGCCATGCAATAATTTTTTTTTAATTTTTAATTAATTTTTTGTTTAAAATTATTTTTAAAATCCACAACCTCCACGTCAGCAAAGTATTAGGTAAACAAGTCATTTTAGACCTAATTGCATGAATTTGTGTAGTTCAGGGACCCAATTGTACTTTTTTTTGAATTTGATGGCCTAATTGCAACTTGGTGTGCAGTTCAGTGGCCTATTTGACCCTTATTTCCACTTTTTATAATCAATTGTGAAAATTAAATATTAATCTATTTCATAGCTAAAATGATAGTATCTTATTCTAGTTATAAGCAATAAGGAAGAAAGTCATATTGAGAATATTTTTTGAGTATTATTGACTCTAATATAATGTAGTATTTGTTATATACTTTTTTTATTTGTTGTAGTTCAAAGAGTCGATACTTCATCATCGGAGTTCAATCATGTGACTTTCCCTCAAGGAGAGCCACAAAAGTGTAATCTGAGTATAAGGTGTTTTGCTCATATTGAGAATATAATTTTACCATTTTTATATTATTGTTCTTTATGTATTAGGACCAAGTTCTCATGCAGCCGTATGGTCACTCACCATTAGGTATGCATAAACTCACCACAAAATGTTCAGAAATGCATCATTAGGTGTAGTGTAATTTTTTTTTGGTGTGTGGTGCATTTTGTGGTGCATTGATATATTTCATTGTGGTTCATTTCCTAACACTGTATGGTGCATTTTTGCATACAGCACTGTCCACATTTGAACCAATATATATATATATATATATATATATATATATATAACAAAATAAGAATTATCAAATTAGTCCTAATCTATACTTAGATGTGAACTCAGTTAGTTTTTCTTCTTCTTCTTTTTTTTTTTTTTTAAATACATCCAAACAATGAACAATAGGAGACCTTCAAGAGTCGGACCAAAAGCTCCATGCTTAGCTTCTAGCTATATCCCTCCGATATGGAACACCATACCGGCCATCAATAATTAGGATGTCACTGACTTTTAATAAATTAACTAATGATAACATGTTAAAAATGTTAATTATATATATATTTTTAATTCAAGTATTAATGTGAAAGGTTTTATTTAAAAATAAATAAAATTGAAGAAATAGGATTGAGTAATAAATTATAAAATTCTCACCCCTTCTATTCCAAAAAAAAAAAAAAAAAAAAAAAAAAAAAAGTTATACAATTCTCAAGACTCAAATAGTAATAAATATAAATTCCAACCACATTTTCTCATCCAAATGAATGTAAAAGAAAAAAAAATAAAATTAGAGAGGGTCATTGTCAAATTAATAATGAGAGGATTGTTGTCTAATGTCTAGCCGCAGATATGTATGCGCAAATTATGCTGTGCAACCGAATGCACCTTGCAAGGTGCATACGGTTGCAAAACGGCGCCGTTTTGGTTAAAAAAAAAAAAACGCGCGTCCCACTTAAAGAAGAAATCAGGTTCGATTCCCGGCAATAGCATTTTTATATATCTACAAATTCATAACTATATATCTACAAATTCATAACTATATATCCACAGTGAATGAATGAAGTAAAAATCCACAATGAATGAATGAATGAAGTAAAAATTCACAATGAATGAACTAAATATCCACAAAGATTGAACTAAATATCCACAATGAATGAACTAAATATCCATAAATTCATACCTATATATCCAGAAATTCATAACTATA